TCTGTCAGTGAATATGTGTGTCTGAAAGTGTGTGTCTGTCAGTGAGTGAGTGATCTGAGGGGGTGGCAGAAATCCTTGCACCGGCCCTGCTAAAGACAGTATACCCTCCTTTCACCTCACACATCTTTAACTGGATTGAAAAAGAGAGACTCTGGTTTGGGTTGCCTGAACTGTTTCCTCTATTCAACTTTACGTGCTAGAAATCTGCTATTGTATTTTTAAAATGGCTGTACCTGTGTATCTGTATGTGTGTCAGTGTGTGTATCTGTGTGTCTGTGTATCGATATATGTGCCTGTGTGTGTATCTGTGTGTTTGTATATTTGAATTTGTGTGTATGTGTGTGTATGTGTATGTGTGTGTGTGTGTGTAAGCGTGCATACATTCAGCATTCAAACTCCAACACTACGCACAAATAAAACCCTGCATTCACTACATACAGAAACACTCCTACATTCAAAGAAAACACTACATAGAAGTAAACCACTGCTTTCAAATAGCAACAGTACATAAAAATACACAATACAACACTACACACAAATACACCCCTACATTCAGACACACATACTCCATACAAAAACATGCTCACATTTAAACATACAAAGACTGCTCAGTGCTAAATACAACCAAAGGATGGGCAAAAGGTAGATCCCCAGCTAGCGCAGCATTGTGGGAGTTGTACGACAGACAGGGATATACCTTTTTTTTCCCATCATTGCGATATGGGGATGTAAAACACAATTTTATTATACCTATTGTATCAGACATATTGCACTATTGTTTTTTTTCTACTTTTATCTCTTCTATATATATATATATATATATATATATATATATATATATATGGACATCTGAGTAACAAAAAGACACATTCTTCAAGCCTAAGAGATCTACGCTGTATCAAGTACATAAAATCGCACTTACCTCTTTTATAGAGAAAATACTTTTTTGTTGGGATTATATATGTCTTGATCAATTTGTATATTCATTTATTCATTTATTGTCTGTTTTATTGCAATACGTGTGGCACAGCCCTACTCTTCGTTTGTACTGTTCCTTTTTAGTATTGTGATATGGGGGCCACATAAAAATTCTTGCACCAGGGCCCTCTATACTTTAGTTCCCCCACTGCTCTCAATATTGCGAGATATGCATAGAACACTTGCACATTTGTCTTACTCTGTCACTCTGTTACTTCCAAGCAGAAAAATACAGCTTTGCATTTCTCATAATAATCTGCTTTGAATAATGACCATCTTGCTGTTCATTATAAAGGCATATTAGAACCAAATTGGAGTTAATGGGGCAAGAACTCTAAATAGCTGAAAACACATTACAGGGATCATGCAAGTAATAATTAGAGCTGACAAATCTCCATGTGAACTAAGAGCACACATATATATATAAATCTCACTTTTCAGTTTTGCATTTTTACCAATAAAAGCCCTGAAATATACATAGACTGCCAAAAATAAAATCCTAAACTGCCAACGCTAGCCATAGCCCAATACAGCGGCTGCAGAAAATGCTGCCAATCTCTAGTTAAGAACAAATCTTTTCAATGGACGCCCTGAAGGGAAAACACAGCAGGAATGTATTCTGAGAAAGCACAAGTCATACATCGAGGAGAAATATTTAGTGTCATGTGGGCCATTCTTCCTGCAGCTCATTGTTCACTGCTTTCCTAATTCTCAGCAAGAGGAGAGACAGGGCCTGGAACAAGATTACTAAAGAAGGAAAAAGCAACACAGAGCCCTGCACAATCTGGGAGAAATATGATTTCAGACATACTGGAATGGGTTATTGAGAGAGCCATTTTGGGGCACATGTAGAGTAATCAGCAAGATCAGTAGCTGGTTTCCATGGTGACTTCCTCACTTTTTTCATACAAAACATTTGTTGTTATGCAAATATTAAAATTTCACATAAAAGGTTACACAAATAGAAATGATCTGAAACAAACTTTAAAGGGACACTAAAGGCACCCAGACCACTTCATCTTATTGAAGTGGTCTGGGTGCAGTGTCCCTGCCCTCCTTAGTCCTGCAATTTAAAACATTCCAGATACTGTTTGACTCCTTGAAATGATGCTGGAAAGCATTGATTTTAAGGCCTTGTGTGCACCCGGGAGAGGTCGGCAGAGGAGGGGCCCAACCCATCATTGAGGTACCTGCTGGAATTAGGTAAATGAAAGAAAGTTGTTGTTTTTTAACCCTTTCATGGATGGGTCAAGGCGTGTGGGGGTGTCACCAGGGCTGAGGGACACTTTAGTGTTGGGGATACATCTTTGTATTTCCAACAGTAAACTGTCCCTTTAACTGTTTCTGAAATAAGCACCTTGGCATATCAGAAGGCTTAAATATCTGCATTTGTATGTCTTTAATGGGACTCATCCACTCTGTATGTGACAAAGAACATGACTGTTCCTTTAAGTAAACGTTTCAATACATCAGCTAAACCATACACCTATGGTTTGTTGACTAGACTACCTAGAATTTTCGTTACCATTAGTTACCAAACAAAATAGTGATATACTCGTCGGAACATTGGGTATTCAGAAGCTCTTGTAAAATGTTGAAGCTGGATGGCCTTGCTTGATAGACCAGAAGACACAATATTACAGTCTATGTTAACTTTAAACTTTGCATAAAAAAAAAAAACAAAGAGAGAAAACACAGGGGATCAGCTAACGTCAGGATTCACCTCTCGAAGTTAACTATATACTGAAAATAGTTCAGACTCATTCTTGAGGATGCCACAAAGTAGCATTACCCTGAAAATTCTAATAAAATCTAAACCTTTATTTATCTTACAAGCGACATGGCAACGTCAAAGAATACAGCGGAAAACATACATCAGGAAACCAGGACAACCGTCCGATTAATACATTTTGTGCAATATGCACTTTATCAGAGTCTCTGATAAAGTGCATATCACATTGCGCAACAGACTGAAGGTTATTTAGAGAAATGTCAGGTGGTAGCATATAGTATTGTTCTTCTCTATCGAGCAGTTATAAGGGAGGTCACCACGCTATTTAGAAGTATGGGAAATGTGCGTCAGCTAAGACTGCCATGTAGAACAATAATGTTCACTAATGGAAAGAGTCAATTGCTTGGATACTTTTGACACTATGAACTCAATCTCAAACTTAGGAGGTTCTTCTTTTCTCTATTGAACAGCGATAAGTAATTTCACAAATTACAGAAATGTTCAATTCATTCTTCAATTAGCAGGGCCCTCTGGGTGATTAGGCAGATTTAGGAGTTGATAAAGAACATTTGGAGAGCCTCAGGGTAGATAGACAGATAGTAGATAAATTACAGGAACACTATAGTCCCAAGGCAACTACAACTTAATGTAGTTGTTCTGGTCTCTATAGCCGTCCCTGCAGGCTTTTCAATGTTAACGCTGCCTTGTACTGCGATCCCAAATTTATTGAGATGTAGGGCACCATGGAACTGTCCTAAGGCAGTACAGGGTGTGCACATCATCAGATGCATCATTCTCTGCAAGGGCTGCCCTGAATGGGGCCAGCAGGGAGACTATCAGTTACCACGCCAAGCTCACATTCTCCTTCCTTGAGTATACACCATTTTGGGTGTCACCAATGTTACCAGTTGCGTCTCTAGCAGACCCCTCTATTCCTATTAACCCATCCTGTTTTTTGTTTTTTTTAAATTCTTTATTTTTAGCGTGCATATGATTTACATACCTTCCGTCAATGCCCCAACAACGGTGATAGACATACAATTAGACAACTGATGTAGACCTAAGGCAGGTAGCGAGTGAGATTTTGTCTGAAATGCGTTAGTTTAGCAACAAGACTAAAAAACAATATTAAGGAGCAGGCTTGTTCTGACCTATACCAAGCTAAACTAGGACACAATATGGGGATACAACAGCATCTCTGCTCCTGTCCACTTCCTAGCGGGTACTGTAACACTGGTTAGACCTGCTTGTTAGTTGTGAGGAAGGGCAGACCACTTGTTGTTACAGGTGATTAGGTATACGTGGTGTGAGGTGTTCGTGTCTGCAGCTTAACCACCCGAGGCTTATCTCCGGTGTGTGAGTAAAAAAAATAAAAAAATGAAAAAATTATAAAATAAAAAAAATAAGTTAATAAATAAATAACAGCATGTTCGCTAGGCATCCCATTGTTATTATACATCCAAAACATGCTAGGTCTGCTCTGCTTCTTATGTGTGGGAATAAACATATGTTGCGCTAGCAGGCCTTTTCCTGGTTGTTACTGAGCTATATTAACTCGGTGAAACATGCTTATGCTGGGTATGTCTGTGGGTAGGCAAGTGTTCCTAATGTTAAAGGACCATTATAGGCACCCAGACCACTTCAGCTCAATGAAGTGGTCTGGGTGCCAGGTCCATCTAGGGTTAACCCCAGGGCCGGATTAACATAGGGGCAGATGGAGCTGCAGCTGCAGGCCCAGGCCCATGGAATAGGCCCATTTAAAAAAAAAAATTTTTTTTTTTTTTAACACACCACTCTTAGGTTTGCCACCTGACTGGTATTTTATTGGCACAGCCGGTATTTGAGGCTGCCTGGCTATGCAGTATTGCAGTAATACCGGCAATACAAATGCAGGTGTTTTTCTCAGTATAAACAGAGATTACTCTGCAATACCAGCACTGGCCAGTAGGCGTCACTGTGTGTGGAGAGAGGCAGAGATAGGAAGTTACAGAATATCCCTGCCTGTCTCTACTACTCACTGATCTGTGGGGGAGCAGCTACACAGCACAGAGAGTCCAGACAGAAGCTCAGGTAAGTGAGGGATGGGGCGAAAGGCAGCAGGGAGACATGGGGAAACTGAGACACTAGGGAACACATGGGGACACAGACACTGGGAGACCTGGGGACACTGAGATACTTGTGGACACTGGAAAACATGGGGACACTGAGACACTAGGGGACACTGTGAGACATAGGGACATTGGGAGACACTGAGACATTAGGACATGGAGACACTAGGGACGCAGTGTCCCCATGTCTCCCAGCCAGTGTCCCTAGTGGCTCAGTGGTCACATGGTTCCCAGTTTCCCCTAGTCTCACAGTGTCTGTGTCCCCATGTCTCTCAGTGTCCCTAGTGACTCAGAGTCCCCATGTCTCCCAGTGTCCCCATGTCTCCCAGCCAGTGTCCTCAAGTCTCCAGGTGTCTGTGTCCCCATGTCTCTCAGTGTCCCCAAATGTCTTTGTCCCCATGTCTCCCAGTGTCCCCATGTCTATGTCCACAAGTGTCCCCTAGTCTCCCAGTGTCCCATAGTCTCCCAGTGTCTGTGTTCTCATGTCTCTCAATGTCCCTAGTGTCTTAGTGTCCCCAAATGTTTCAGTGTCCCCATGTCTCTGTATCCCAGTGTCCCCATGTCTCCCAGTGTCTCCATGTCTCCCAGTGTCCCCATGTCTGTATTCACAAGTGCCCCCATTTCACCCAGTGTCCCCGGGTCTCTGTGTCCCCATGTTCCCAGTGTCCCCTAGTATCCTAGTGACATGGGGACACACTGAGAAATGGGGACACTGGGAGACTATGGGACTGGGCGACATAGGGACACTGACACTGAGACACAGGGTGACTTGCGAGACTGAGACACTGGGAGACAGGGAGACACTGGGAGCAATTCATCTATACAGCAGAATCAAACTGAGTAATTTGTTGGTGATTATACAGAATTTTCTCTTATGTCACTCCTTGTGATTTACATCATGTGATGTCACGTATAACTAATTAATTATACAAATGATTAAGGCTGGTATTTTTTTCCAGGAAAGGTGGCAACCCTAACTACTCTTCACATACTCTTGCTTAAAAGAACACTATAGGGTCAGGAACACAATCATGTATTTCTGACCCTATTATGTAAAAACCACCATCTAGCCCCCCTCACCGCCTCTTGCTTTCCTAAATATAGTAAAATCTTACTTGTATTCAAGTCTGCAGATGCTGGCTCTGCCCCTGAACTGACATCATCAGAAGTGGTGGTCTGAGCAAATTACAATGCTTCCCCATAAGATTGGCTGAGACTGTCAAATAGGCAGATCAGGGACAGAGCCAGTACCAGTCAAACATAGCCCTTGCCAATCAGCATCTCCTCATAAAGATAAATTGAATCAATGCATCTCTATGAGGAAAGTTCAATGTCTGCATGCAGAGGGTGGAGACACTGAATGGCAGTGCTGCACACTAGGCAGTACTGCCCCAGGAAGCACCTCTAGCAGCCATCTAAGGAGTGGCTAGTGGAGTTATTTTCTCTGAAAAGACCGTGTTTAATGCAAAAAGCCTGTAGGGAATGATTCTACTTACCAGAACAAATGCAATAAGCTGTAGTTGTTCTGACGACTATATTGTCCCTTTAAGTTTGGAAGCTTAAGAGGGATGTATGGCAACAAAACTTGTGTGGACTGGCTGACAATAAAATTAGTTTAGGTAATTCAGACTTTGGTTTCTTTAACACTGTGGCATGTCCCCTTTCTTCTACACTCACTACATACACCTTTACTCTGTCCCAGACTATATACCAGGAACTTCTGCCTGCTAGTAAGAAGTTAAGGAGACAAGTGGACATGTGAGTGCTAGGGGACAGTCCTTAGAAAGCATGGAGTAGGCGCATCATTTGATGCATTTATGTCAAGTTCAGGGTGCTGCCTGCATAGTATGCCCTTAGTTGGACAGCCTGCATGATTGGCAGGCAGCCTGACATGCATTCATGCCAGGCTGGCCTTCCAATTCTTTGGACAAACATGCCCCCTTTTTGGACATGTTCACCCCTTTTGGCAGGTCTGTTCACGTGATTCGCGTCAGTGGCACACCCTTTTACCCTGCCCATTGACTTCCTTCTTTACTGGACACTGCTATTAGGGGGTATGGATTTACTTGAAAGATTAAAGCATAAATTAGAGAGAAATTAGCATAGTGTATGTGTTTTCGTATAGCTGCATCCTTTCCCTCCAACACCATCTCCATCAGGAGGTATGGTTGTTTTAGTGTTTTTGGTCGATAAGATTCTGTAATTAGGCCCATCATAATTGTCAGCTCCAGGCCCACCGGGCTCTTCATCTGGCCCTGGTTAACCCTGCCTGCTGTAAACATAGCAGTTTCAGAGAAACTGCTATGTTTACATATGGGTTAATCCAGCCTCTAGTGGCTGTCTCACTGATTTTCACAGTGAGAAGACGCCAGCGTCCATAGGAAAGCATTGAGAATGATTTTCTATGAGACTGGCTGAATGCGCACGCGGCTCTTGCCGCGCACGCACATTCAGCCGATGACGGGAAAGGTGGAGGAGAGTCCCCAGCGCTGGGAAAAAGGTAAAGGATTAACCCCCTAGAGAACGGCGGGAGGAGGTCCCCAGAGGATGAGGGGGACCCAAGGATCCTATAGATCCAGGAAAACGAGTATGTCCTGGCACTATAGTGGTCC